GTAGATACACGAGAACTAGATAGGTAGATAGATAGATAGATAGATAGAGAGATAGATATTTAGATAGATAGATAGATAGATAGATAGATAGATAGATAGATAGATAGATAGATAGATAGATAGATAGATAGATAGATAGATAGATAGATAGATAGATAGATAGATAGATAGATAGATAGATAGATAGATAGATAGATAGATAGATAGATAGATAGATAGATAGAGAGAGAGAGATAGAAAGATCGATAGGTAGATAGATAGATAGATAGAGAGATACATAGATTGATAGATAGATAGATAGACAGATAGTTAGATAGATACAAAGAGAGATAGATAGACACAAAGAGAGATAGATAGATAGATAGGTAGACAGATAGCTACATAGATAGAGAAGAGATAAAAGAAAGAACGGAAAAACAAGCAAAACAAAAGAAATAAAGAAAGAAAGCAAAAAAGGGCGGAAGGAAGGAGAGAAAGAAAGAGAGAAAGAAAGAAAGGAAGGAAAGAAAGAAAGAAAGAAAGAAAGAAATAAAGACAGGAAGACACACAGAATGACGGAACAAAGAGAAACCGTGAAAAGGAAGAAGAAGACAAAACAAATCAAGAAAAGAAAGAGACACAAAACTATCATGTTTATATTTTTGAAACTTCCGCCCACCGGCTTCGCCGGCTCTACTGATAATACGGGGCCAAAGGTTGCAAACCAACCTCGTGAGGTGGCATTAGCCCCGGTTTATCTGTGTCCAACAAAGTGACCTCCAAGTTATCCCCTGAATTGTGGTTTCAAGGGGAAGAACCCCCCCAAATCTATATATATATATATATGGTCACCCCCCCCCCATATATATATATATACATAACTTTAAGAACTTCTCAAAACAATCACATAGTGGAGCCAGTCGGTTTGCATTCCAAGCCTCCACATTCGTTCAACCGGGCCTGTAGCTTTGACACGATCGTGTGGCAGGCGAAGTACAGCACCACCTGAACGGAAGGCGCCAAGCTATTCGCCGCCTGAGCCAACCCTCACAAGGGTTGGAACCTTCAGTGAAGGGGGGACTTCTGAGTGGGACTTCTGAACAAGTTAACAACAACTTAACGGTCAGTGGGGTACTAACAAGGGTACCAAGTGGGTTGATTATAACTTAGGGCAACAACTCAACTTGGCGAATAGAGCACACAAGCACTAGTTCTTCTGAGAATCCTACACTTGCGGGGAGGCAGCTGTTTGAACGGCACAAAACCACACTTATAAAGAGATAATCCTGGCATTCCCTAAACTCCCTTCAGAAAATCGGGAAAGCTGTTGACCCGTCCCGTGAGTTTTCCCTGAAACTCTCTTCAGAAATGCGAAAACCCAATGTCACCATGAAAGCCCCTGAATCGTGTGGAGTAGATCATATGCCACCGTTGGGGAGACCTAAAGAGCATCTCGCGCTGTGGTAATATGCTACTTCTCGAAAGAAAAAACAAAAAAACGCAAACCCTGGGGTCCAGTTCATTTCCACACTCGGACGGTGATGTGTTGTTTCGTTGTTTTTGAAGGGTACCCTCCTGACAGTAAAAAGCAGGTCTCAAAACAAGCATGTTTTAATGGCTAGGAACGGGTCCCCGCAAAAAAAAGAGGCCGTTTCGATCGGCAACCCTTGCACGTCGCACCTCGCCTCTTCACTCTGGGAGCTGAGCAATCCATGCCTCACTGAGCTCCGCTTGAGCGATGGGCCATGGGCCACCGGTTTCCTTTTGCCCTGGATGTGTTGGCTTGTAATGTTTGACCCTGTGAAGGGGTTCACCCTTCGTTTTGGCCCTTTGGAAGTCTTGGCCTTGTGGGGATGCTGTTTTTTTGAAGGAGCCTTTCTTAGGTTGCTTCCCAGCCCTTTATTAGGTTGTTACTTTTCAGGGAAGCCAAAACAATCGCAGCCACGTTTTAGTCCCCTCCATTTGAGACATACCCGAAATCGGGGCTTGCGGGGCCTGGCACTGGCGCGACTCTCCACCCTTCGCAAACCTGAGGGGACCCCCGTGTTTGGTGGATGCTTCCTGTATGCTACAGTACATGGGGCTCTGTGCTGCTCGTTGTGGGGCATTGCTTGTGAATCGATAGCCATTCAGGTTGTCGAAGATTGCGCCTTCCATTGTCAACAAGCATCCTTATACACAGCAGTTCCGTGCAAAAAGGAGTAACCCTTGATTCTCATCATGACTTGTGACCTCAAGCATTTGTCCATGGTGCCGATCATTGTGCCCAAAAGCAACTCTGTTCCCGTTCTAGCTTTAGCACCCCATCGAAGAAGCGGGACGAACCCAAATTTCCTCTTGAGAAAATGAATCTAGCTTCCACGATTGGAAGGATATCCCGCCAAACCAGCTGACTGAGCGCGCGGCACCACCATCCATGCCTGCAACCGGGAAGTAATTGGAATTGAGCCGAGCGACCGATTCAATTAAGGGCCCTTCTCCTAAAACTACCAACCTAAATCGCATATGTTGTCCGATGTCGTCACCGCTTTGCTTACGCGACCTAACGCGACCCATGTTTTAGCTTGAGATGCAGTCAGCGAGCATGTCAAGCCTACTCATTGCTTACGCGTCGGATGTGTTGAGCGGTTCCCTCAAGAACTGCTTACGTGGCTCATTTTTCTATGCAGCCGCCGCTCTTCAAGATGACGCGAATGACGGAGGAAGTTGACGAAGAATTGCTCCCAGGCGGAACAACATGGCGCTGTTGTTCCTTTCGGGGTCTTCGCTTTGTAGCCCTCTTGCTCAGAGGATTTGTGCCACCTCCTTTCACCCTTCGCGGGGTTGAAGGGAAACTCAAAGGACACCAGCCATTGTGGAGGTCCTGTTTTGACATACCTAGGTGTGTGCAAGTTTAACTATAAGTGAATCACAATCAATACCGGGTATTAAAATGGTCTACCCAGAACCATGTAAAGAATTAAGAAGGCGGCCGCAGCTATTTCTGGCTGGGACTGCCCCTTACTGGCCTTCATCTACCAGGGTGTTGATTGTGGCTCAAGTGTTGACTTCCTTTCAAGATAGATCGGAAGCTAAGTCGGTCAAACACGCAGCGTTTGCTTCCCAGGAATGATCAACGTGCCGGGCGCACCGCTTCCCTCCCCTCTAAGAAAACACTTGATGCTTCAACTGAAAAAGACATTAGACATGGTCGAGCCGTTTGCTTACAGGCTACGGGAAGTGGAATCGATCCCCGTTCCAAGGTTGCGATGGACCTACTTACGTGTGCTAGGTCTCAGCCTCAAATGCTACCAAAGGTCGTTCCGAAGGCCGAATCGGGCGACACGGCAAGCTGTGTGCAACATGCATCCCTCAAATCAGGCCTTATATGACCTTTTTGGTAGCACCCCATGTGCAACCACTTCCGACTTGGCCGAACATCCCAGTATTCCCCAGCCTCCTGTGACTGCTGAAAGCGCTGCAGCCTCGCTAAACCCAGCCCTGTCATGCACGGTCCAACATGACCTCCAATATATTCACTGGCTTCGTCTCATGGTTCGAGCGCTGGGGTGTACTTAGCAGCGAGGTCAAAATATGTGTTACACCTGTATTCATTCCAGTTCAGTGAATCACCTTTTCCTATTTTTGCATTTTGCAAGGGTATCGTGCAAGGGTATTGCTTTGTTTTGTGATTTTGCCAGCGCAAACAATGAAACGTGCTTCTAAATCTGTATGACGGTAACTTTGACCCTTTCTCAGTCACAAATCGTCTCCCTATTTAGCACCCAGTCAATAGAGAACACTTACAAGCAAGCCAGGGCTCAGAAGCAGTCCAGCCCAAGTAGTTTCGGTCCGCTTCAGTGAACATCTGAGCGGGCGGGAATGCACCTTACAGGCCAACATTCACCGCAAGAGAGTCACCTACAGGCAGAGCAAAGCATTCTCATCGTATCCTAATTTTTCAGGGTGGGGAATAATGTTGAAAACAATTTTCAGTTTTGCCCCTCCGTTTACCTGCTATCCTCTTGTTTGTACAATTAGCTTTGCCTGCTCGGTACCTTCCAAACCAAATTCAACCCTTTCAGCCCAAAAAGCGTTCAACAAGCGTTCAGCATGCGCTCAAAAGGCGTTCACTATTGCCATCAATTAATCCCCTGGATTTGGTTGGTGTTGTCCAATACTCGTTCTGCCCTCGAGCAAGCAGCGGTGTACAACCAGGGATTTGTGGCGTCGATTGAAACATCCAGCCACAGGGTGAACATGGGTCTCCCCAAACCTATGGCATCAAGCAAGCAAAACGAGCCTGAAAACAAATGCTTTTAGGGTGTATTAAGAGTTACGTGGTATTTCGCACCCAGTTGACACTTCCAGGTTTGTTTGGGCAGCCTTGCCCAACTTAGGCAGTTCACCTTGGTCACTGTGCAACCAATTGGACCTCTAGCCTTTCCCCTCGAGCTGCGGCTAGCCAGATCGATGGGCTTCCTGGCGACTTTGAGCCATCCACATGGTGGGCTTAGGGGAAACAGCTGCAGTTTCTGACTTTGAAAAACCCGAGCAGTGAGACACATGGACCCTGCACTTTTCTGGGCAATTGCAGGACACACCCGTATTAACACCTCTTTCTGTCCCGAATTAGTGGATGTTTTTGTTGGGCTTGCCTTGTTCTTACTACTCTCTTGTAAATTAACATGGAACGCAAAGCGGAGGTCCATGTCCGAACAGGACCATGATTTGTCGGTTCCATGCTCATCAGGAGGGTACGTATCATAAAAAGTTAAAGGTCTGCAGAGACCCATAGATGTTGCAAGGGGCCAACGGGGCTATTAAACAAAAATGCTGCTTTGAAATCCAGGCTGGGGGCGTAGGTAAAATCAATTACCCTTCCCCCTGAAGGGGACCTGAGTGCCATGAGCGGAGATCGCATCGAAATCCCACTGAGCTGCAGACCATTCGCTGTGCGCTTGAGTCTTGGAGAAGTCGTGGTGCAACCCGTGGATGTGTCTGGCCAGGGCTTTTTGGGCAAATGTTCCAAGGGACGGGTGCATAGACCCTGAAGGCTTGTTAGCAAATACGCTGACCAAGAAGCACCAGTCAACTTATAGTTGTAATCCAACCAAACAACTGGCATGCCAAGTCGCAGCTGGTTTCCTTGTTGCAGCTATGAGGTTGCTCTTTTTGTCTCTTGGATGTCCGGATCGATTCAACAAACATCTTTTGAGAACACAACTCACCAAACGCATGGCCATCCACCAGCTTGATGCATCCGGGGAAAAAACACAAGCACATAATTATCCAAGGGGACGATCAGGGCAGTACCATTTGTATGTGTATATATATATATATATTATATAAGGAGCTGTTCTCCAATCAATGACTGGCGGGGGGGTGATGTGAATCGGGTCAGCGTTTACCCTACCCCGCTTCCATGTTTAGGTATGGGGGTAAACGTTACCCCCTTTTGCCTTGGTGTGTGCAACCACGTGATACAAAAAGTTAAAGTCCTAACAGCCCTTGGCAAAATGCACCAAAGATTATCATGTTTCGAGAGGACGAAACATGGACGGAAGCTCGAAAGGTTCAAAGGTCCAAACTTTCAAAGGATCCCCTCAGCAAGGAACTCCAAAAAGCACCAGCATGGACCTGCTCTTTTCTGGGCCCTCAGATCCCCCGCTAAAAGCTTAACTTCGAACTTCTTGTGGGTGAAATGGAAACTACCACCAAAGGGTGGATCCATCGGTTTGCCAGGCCCATGTCGCCATCTTCCCCGCTCCGCGCCCCAGAACTTGCGCTGCGGCGTCAGCCATGGAGGGAACTGGAGAACACGCTTGCGACTCTTCTGCTGGTGGTTGCGGCGTATGTTCTCCGTGCTCGGGATCTGTGTGGGTTTGCGTGTGTGTGCACGTGCGACTGTTTGGACCCCCGGGCCCCCCGGAAAAAAGACAGTAGCGCTAAATGTATCTGGAAGTGGTCAGAGTCGATCTTTCAATGTGCTTGGATGGCTCCAAAGAGTACCGAGGGTTGCTTCAGGCACGTGTTGCTTCTGCAGCATGTAAAGAGGTCAACCTTCTGTGTTGCTGAAGTGTATTTCTGCCATGACTTGTCCGTTTCGACATGTTGATTTCATATAATATGGCGACCTGCAATCTCCATTGCTTTCCTGCGTAGTGTCAAGCAATGCGCTGGTTTTCGCCCGGCGAAAGCTGTGCCAATTCTGTGGAGCGCTTCGAAGTGAAGACCTTTCGTGTTACGGGCTTCATTTCGGGCTGACCGTTGTGTGCCACTAGAGTGGTATTCCAGACCGCATGGACAGACGCAGACACGCACACAAACAAACACAGACTCCAAGCGAAGGGATCCGCCTTACCATATGCCCGGATGCCCATTTCGGCCAAGCCCGGAAGGAACATGGTTGCCTGAGGTTTTGTGGGTTCTGTCGGCTTTCATGTTGGGTACAAAATGTACTTTGCCTTCAGCGTGCCATTGGGACCAGTTGTCGGACTCGGCCGATTTCAGCACGAGCCTCTGAACCTTGGCCCATGGACTTTCACACGGCACTCTTCTCACTTCCGTGGATGGGCCAACAAAAAACCGACTTACAAACGTATTTGCCACTAACATGGTCCAGACCCCAAAAGCGACTCACGTCCAGGAACTCAGGGAGTGCATTTTTTTCTGACAATGTAAGTACCCACTTGCATCAACCGCTAGGCTGGGGCACAAAACAAATATGCACTAAAGGATTCACACATCTTTGAGGGTGTTTCTTTCTGTGAGGGCACCTTTTTCAGGATGTCTATTTTAGTAGGGGAACCCTCACAACCCAAAGGGGGGAGAAAGAGCACGACTGGGCTACTGGGGGACTACTGGGGGACCTAGTTAAAGGAGAGACAGAGGACAACTCATTCCAGTCGCGCTATAACCCCAGCCGTGCAAAATTTAGTTGAACGGTGCGGGTGTGTGTGGCTAGTGATCTGTACACTTAATATGAGCTAAAACATCGGATGAAATCAAAAGCTCCCTCTAAAATACTTGTTTGTTCATCGGTCGCAAACAAACAACAGTAGGTGATGTCGCGGTTGTCTTGGCCCAGATGGATCAGCAAGCCAATAGTTTACGCCTTTAGCCTTTGACTACCGTGATTGAACAAATCAGGGACCATGTGGCGCAGAAAAAATAAAAAAGAAAAAAAAAAGGAAAAGACGAGGGCGACAAGAGAGTGTTGCAACCGAACCGGCTAGAGAACCGTAAGGAGCCCTAAGGACCCCGAAGGAGCCCTAAGCAACGCTAAGGAAATTCAACGAACCCTAAGCCTCTCGACGGCAAGTATTTTCCTCACGCAAGCGCGGAGAGCATTAGCAGTGTGGCCAGCCTGGCACGGGAAGCCCCCCCCAGTAGCCACAACGTTTTGCGAGCTTTGCCGAACATCCAAGCACTACTCGGACAAAAAAGGGTTTAGGGAGTTGGAGTTGATGTCAGAATGAGGTTGTTTGCCTCTTGGCCAGGAGTTCTCTACTTTAAGTATCACGTGGTTGCCCACACCAAGGCAAAAGGGGGTAACGTTTACCCCCATACCTAAACATGGAAGCGGGGTAGGGTAAACGCTGACCCGATTCACATCACCCCCCCGCCAGTCATTGATTGGAGAACAGCTCCTTGAGCTCTCGAACCATGCCCGCTTCACGCAAAAAAACAAAAACGCACTTTTGGTCCGAGAGGTGGGTTGTTTGGGTCATAAATTCACGGGGCTGTTTGCCTACCATGGGTCCCATGGGTCCCATGTCTTGCTTTCAGGCGATTCCAAGGTGACGACTCTCGCCTCAAATGCTCTCCGTCTCGGGTTCGTTTCATCTTAGGTGAGCCTTTCAAAGCTCGAGCCGTCTCCAGCCATCCGGTGGCATTGCGAGTAGTCCTAAATCGAGTGAAGCAACGAGAGGTCCGCAGTCTTCCTGCTCCCCAATCAAAGGTCCTGGTTGCGGAAAAGCCCATACCGTAAAAGCGCACTTTGCCCAGATTACCCAAATATCCAGCAGCCATGAAAAGAAACAATGGCAATTATTTCAGACTTAACTTTTTAGAGAAACAACTCCATGCGGTTTTAACGACGGACACCAATTAGGCATTGCATGCAGGGAAAAAGGAAAGCCTATGTTGTTGCTGCAGCTTGTGGTTTTTTCGGTGGCTCATCTGCTGTACTGGGGCAACCGCTTGTAGCGGGAAATCTGACGTGTTTAAAAGGGTGACGCAGTTTGAGGACAAACCGACGATCCGCCAAGTATTGATGTTTTCGGCAAGCTGCAAATGATTGAATCATGTCCATCACAGAAGAGAACGGTTCCCCATGCTGCTTAGTAATTAAGCCCTTGTATTTATCACCCTGGAATAGCTGCCGGTAAACGATCGCATGTAATTCTCTGACAATACCTGGGCTTGTGTCAAATCAGGACGCCCTCAAAATTGGCGGCTTTCGTTTTTGTGCCCTCAAAAAGACACACACACACACACACACTCTCCTGTAGCGCGGATGTGTCATTTTCCAGCAAGTGCACAAACTACACAAAACTCAGATGCGCAGTTGCTGTGTTCTTTTTGTTTAACCACTTGCTTGACGTTGGAAGGGGAGCAACATGTTAAATTTTAGTAGTTAAGCGGGGAAATCCCACTAAACCACAACAAGCAAAAATGTAAAATGTTTCCCAACAACAACCATGACCAGATCTTTGGCTACAGACTTTTTGGGAGCTGGCGCTTTTTGATCTTTCACTCAGCAAGCTGCAGCTCAAAGTTTCAGCTTTCGGCTGACTGCGCGCAGTCCTCCCTCGCGGACCTACGCCCAAAGGCTCTGGACACATGTTGTGAGCTGACATATGGAATCTGAACCATCACCCCACTTACAGGATCTATAAAAAACAAGAAGAAAAAACCCATTTGCCTTTCCACTGGGTGATGTCTAAAACAAGCAACGTGGAACAAGCTAGGGAGCCATGTAGTAAGGAAAGGTGTCGTTATTCGTCCAAAGGTCAAGGGGCTATGAACAAAATACAAAAGGACACTCGAAACAAAAGCAGGTTTATGTCCCGAAAGGAAGTTGTTCGAACATGTACCACTGACATAAGCATGAGGCACCCCGAAAATGAGCATCCTTGCATGAAGTGCTTCTCAGTTCCCACGCTCTGCAGCATCTGGGCCATACGTTCCGAACAATCAAGGGAGGCAGTCATGCAAAGCACACCTTCCTGTGCACATGCGTTTTTGTGAAGTTTTTTGTGTGTGGGTTACTAGATGTTCAGGGGTAATACCCTTGGGAGCAACCAAGAAACGAAAACAAGCCTTGCGAATGGGAAAACATCTTGTTATGTTCATGTCCAAAGGGACATATGTGCTTAGTTGGTCCGAATCTACTGAGGCTGTCTTTCTGTAGGCTACCTTGGGTTGTGTCAACGGGGAAAGGGGAAAGCAGCGCATTTCCGGTTGGCGTGAACGACTTTTCCAGGAACTGCCCCACAAGTTCACATCCCTCTTTACATCTCCAGGCCTTTTTGTTCCTGGGCCTGTGACTTGGACAGGGAGATGATGGGAAACTCACATCTCCGTGGGCCATCACCCTGGACCTACCATGCTTCGTAGGAACGAACACACATCATTGACTTGTTTGGTCTACCAACAGACTATACATTTATAAAGCCTTGCATAGGCCAATAATCATGTGAAACCAGTTCACAACCGAGCTACCCAGCAAACGAATAGGAACCGGCGGCAACTGGGAACTGGGCGCCAATGACATTCGAGGCACAGAGACCTCTGCTCAATCTTCAGGTCCAAATAGCGCTGGCCGAACCAAAGCCGCAGGAGGTAGTCCATCCTCACGAACTTGACCAACAAAACCCCCGCAAATGGCGAGTTCTTTGGGCAGAAGCAAAGGACATCCCGTTTCAGGGGGCCGAAGGGTGCTGCGTGGTTAGGAAGACTTCTTGAACCAATGGCTTTCAAAGAAATTTTCAGAGGTGAGCTTAGTGCGGCAAAGCATCAAGATACCCACCAGGCC